ACCCTGTGGGAGCTGCCTGGCTCCAGGGACCCCACAGAGCCAAGTAAGCATACGGAGCAGGGATTCAGCCAGCTGATCCTAGCTGGGCCAGGACCCTGCAAGGGGGGGTGATGGGGGTGGGGATAAAGGCCCCACCCACAGCAACAGCTTCCCCGGCCCTCGTTCCTGGCCTTGTGCTTGCCCTGACTCACTCTCAGGCAGGGGCAGGGCAGGACACTCAGTGGCCCTGACGGCCATCAGGGACAACATGAATCACTTCCAAGTGCCAACACGGAAGCTGAGCAGAGGAAGAGGAGCAAAGCTGAAACAGGAGTGGGCCCGCAGGCTGCTCTAACTGACTCGAGGGCTCTGGGGGGGATGCAGGCTCTGACACACAGGCTCTGCAGGAGATGCAGGCTCCATCTAACTAACACTCAGGCTCTGGGGAGGATGCAGACTCTGTCTAACTGACACACAGGCTCTGCAGGAGATGCAGTCTCCGTATAACTGACACTCAGGCTCTGGGGAGGATGCAGGCTCTGTCTGACACTCAGGCTTTGGGGAGGATGCAGCCTCCGTGTAACTAACACGAAGGCTCTGCAGGAGATGCATGTGCCATCTGACAGTCAGGCTCTGGGGGGGATGCAGGCTCTGTCTAACTGACACTCGGGCTCCAATCCGAAGGCTGCCCAGGCTGTTCCCCTGCCGTGTCCTCAGCACCTGGTGCAGTGCATGGAGAACGGGGTTCAGTAACCGTCTGGAAGGAAGGGGATGCTTTATCCAGTCATGGTGACTATTGTCATTCAGCAAAGGCTGTCTATTTCTTTTTCTTTTTTTTTGAGATGGAGTCTCTTTCTGTTGCCCAGGCTGGAGTGCAATGGCGTGATCTCAGCTCATTGCAACCTCTGCCTTCCGGTTCAAGTGATTCTCCTGCCTCAGCCTCCTGAGCAGCTGGAATTACAGGTGCCTGCCACCATACCCAGTTAATTTTTTTGTATTTTTAGTAGAGACAGGGTTTCACCATGTTGGCCAGGCTGGCCTCAAACTCCTGACCTCAGGTGATCCCAAAGTGCTAGGATCACAGGTATGAGCCACCGTGCCCAGTATTTCTTTAAATCAGTCACTCTCCTCACCAAGCACCCTGATCTCCCTACCACGAGACCTCCTCCTCCATGGGCCTGCAGCAGAATGGCATTTCCAGTGGCCCGGATCACAGCCGGCTGGCCAGGCAGGCCTCTGTGCCCCGACAGGACCAGGCATATAGCAAGGCTCAGGCCCCCGAGGCCTACCAGGACAAGGGATCATCCACCTAGCCCTCTTACCACGGTGGTCCAGCTGGGGATGAGCCTGACGGAGTTCTTCACCTCCTCCTCCGTCACCTCCACCACGCTGCAGTGCTCCTCCTCCGAGGGCAGGGGCTCCTCCCCGTTCTTGGTCACCCAAGGGTGCAACTGTAGGGGCCAAGAGGGCAGGGAGAGGGGAGAGGTCAGGCCATAGGCAGACACTCAATCAGCAAAGGACTCCAGGCCTTTTACCAGAATCACCTGGAGAGATGCAAAGTCCACAGACCCAAACCCCACCCACATGCTTCCTGGCATAGAGCTCTCCAGAAGGGGAAACTGACGCCTGCTTTCTGTGTCCCAGCCCAGCCCAGGACCTCCAGTTCCCTGACCTTGATGTCCGGCACCCCAATCCTCGTCTCGGGATTCTTGTCCAGCATCTTCAGGATTAGGTCCTTGAGCTCCTCGCTGATGTTGGGCCTGGAGAGGGCAGAGGAAGGAGAGGGTGGGCGTGCTGATGGGGACCCTTCCTGTCCACCTCTCCTCCCCAGACCCTCGTCCCTTGGACGGGAAGACTGAGTTCATATGACAAGTGCTTGGAAAGCCTTTCCTGAGCAGGAGGAAACATTTCCCTCCAGGACAGGGGCACAAACAGACTTCCATGCGTGCTGGACACCCCGCTGGGCGGCAAAATGGTGAGGAGAGTCACTTCATGGGACCTCAGGGCCTTCGGTTCCACTCACCACCTCATCCTTTTCTATACCCAGGGAAGACCCTCTCTCATTTCAGAGGAGGAAGCAGAGGCCCACAGAGGTTAGCAGGCTCGCACAGTGCCACCCAGAAGAGGGTAGGCAGAGACGGGAGACTCGGGGTGGGGGAACAGCCCCCTCAGTGTCCCCTCAGCCTGAACTCTCTCTGCCCAGACCCCAGGCTTCTTTGGCACCAATGGTCTTGGGGAGCCTATCCTTCCAGGTCTGGGGAGCAGAAGCCCCTCTTGGGACTGTTGACTTCGGTTCCTCCTATTGTCTTAGATGCTTCATCCCTTTTAAAATTCCTGAGCTGGGGAGAAAGACCTCCCTGGCAGGGGGCAGAGGGGGAAGAGAGGTACCCGGGTACCACTGTGGAGGCCGGGAGGGAAGCCAATCAAAGGGTGAGGAGGAAAGGGACAGAAGCCAGCTGGCTGGTGCTTGGAAAAGGGAGTGACACCCCAGGTGAGCACGTAGCAGAATCCGAAATGCTTGAACGCCAGGGCCAGGGCATGGCCTCCATCCTGCAGGCTTGGAGAAGCCCCAGACAAACTTCAGGCAGGAGATGCAGGCAGGTGTGTGGGCAGGAGATGCAGGCAGGTGTGGGGGCAGGTGTGTGGGCAGGAGATGCAGGCAGGTGTGGGGGCAGGCGTGTGGGCAGGAGATGCAGGCAGGTGTGTGGGCAGGAGATGCGGGCAGGCCTGTGGGCAGGACATGCCGACAGAAGAGGCAGGCAGCTGTGAGGGAAGGAGATGCGGGCAGGTGTGCGGGCGGGAGATGTGGGCAGGTGTGCGGGCAGGAGATGTGGGCAGGAGATGCGGGCAGGTGTGCGGGCAGGAGATGCGGGCAGGTGTGCGGGCAGAGATGTGGGCAGGTGTGCGGGCAGGAGATGCGGGCAGGTGTGCAGGCAGGAGATGCGGGCAGGTGTGCGGGCGGGAGATGCAGGCAGGTGTGTGGGCGGGAGATGCGGGCAAGAGATGTGGGCGGGAGATGCGGGCAGGTGTGCAGGCAGGAGATGCGGGCAGGTGTGCGGGCAGGAGATATGGGCAGGTGTGCGGGCAGGAGATGCGGGCAGGAGATGCAGGCAGGTGTGGGGGCAGGTGTGTGGGCAGGAGATGTGGGCAGGCCTGTGGGCAGGACATGCCGACAGAAGAGGCAGGCAGCTGTGAGGGAAGGAGATGTGGGCAGGT